TTGAAGTTCAGTCCAGAATTTAGGAAGTTGAATTGGTTATAGCTGCAGTTTTAATGTAGATTTTAGAGTTTAGTTTGGGATTTGAAAACCTAAAAAGGGTTTAGATTAAGTGGACTGCCAGTTGAGTATGTAGTGAACCATTAAATTAATGAATAATTTAATCAAAAGAGGGAATCTATAGTGCAAATACATCCTGGCTGACATCTTTAAGGTGGGAAGTCAGATGTAGGATGAGTTTTAATAATAAAAGTTGAGAATGCACATGAAATAGGTAGTGAAACCTGTTGTACAGTAGGATATGCATTACTTTTTGAAATTCAGGAGATTGTTAAATAAGAAAACTCATGCCTAGACAACAAAAGGTGGAAAGGACATATTAGGAACTATACTTTAAGTCTGGGCAGCCTGTTTATTTTGAAGGGGGAGGGCTCCTCTTTTCAAAAAGGCCTATAAAAATCAAACAAGAGGAGAACCCTGAAAAGGAGAACTTCAGCCATAAAAGATTCCTATTGAAAAGTCTCTCTCACTTTTCTCAAAAAAAAAATTTGAAATCTGCATTTGACATTCAAATACACAAAAAATAAAAAATAAAAAATCAAAAAAAAACCCTTCAAAACCAAACAGAAAATGAAAAATATCAGAAAACTACAAAAATAGAGTACTGTTGCATTAAAGTATTAGATCAGTTGCAGGTTAATTGTTTCATTCTGATTCCTACTGATTCTAAGGTTCGAATTCGAGCTATTTTGGGTATTAGTCAAACTGTATTGGGTAGTTTACTGGCAGAGGTAGTTCTGGGTGAAATTTCAAGTTTGCTTGGTTTTAATCGAGTCTAATTTGAGCATTCAGTTGGTCTTCTTCTCTCATTTCTGGGTCATCGAGGTTGTTCTAGAGTCGAATCTGACCCTGTGCTGCTTGAATTTGGGTTAGTGTGGCCTGCTAGTTACTGCTGTTGATACTTCATTCTCATTTTTCATATTTCCAGGTACACATTCGAATTAAGCTTTGATGTAGCTTTGACTTGAAAGATGAAAATGGAAATATTCATGCCTTGGCCTCCACATCTATGCTCATGTAGCTTACCCTGTACATGTGTTTCAAAATAGATATTAGTTGATGTGTAATTACTTAATATAGCTTAGTTTCGATTGGTATTGGTTGGGATGGTATACTGTATAATTAGAATTGTTTTGGACCGTTAATGGACTATCTAGTTGCTGAACTTTATTTAGTTAATAGCCTTAATAACGTCATTTTGTGATTAGTTTAATTGAAAGCTTTAGCAACAGAATCAACTGGTTCTAGATCTGCATTTTGAAATTAATCATTAAACAGTCGAGTAGTGGACTAATTTCAATTCATTTGTAGTTAGTCTTGGACTGTCCTGGGCTGGCGTAATTGGAAATTTGTGTCAATACAGCTGCTTAGTATAGCTTTTAGTATGATTCAAGTTCATTTAGCATTGGATACCTTATTCATAAACAGTGAGTCATAATTTAATTTGTGCTTAAAGGAATCCATCATTAACTCATGTAGTTTGTTAGTTTAATAGCATGAAGTTGAGTTTTAACTTGGATTGCCGAGTTTATACAACTATATACGTTGTGAATTCAAAAGCACTAGATACATCTCATCTCTGAAATAATACACGCTGCATTTGCATGTTGAAAGGCCATCTCATCCCCACCCCTTTATAAATGAAATTAATGTTCACGTTTACATATATGTGCACTGTTAAATGAATTGAATGGTCTGAGTGTCCATTGATTGAGGACTAGCATCAATTTGATTTAAAAAAGGGTTATTTGGGCATAAAACACTGGCATGCCTCGAAAATTGAAACCGTTGTCATGTTTCTGGGCTCACTATGGGCTCAAACCGTCCAGCCCCCTTATGAACACAATATGGGCTGTCTTGAACGAGTTGCTAAAATGATATATTTTTATTTATTTAGTTATTGGGCCTGGCTGATCTGAAATGGATTTATAAGGATTTGGCCCTTTCAAATAGGCTAAATAATTAGGGTTTCTTCTTTTATTATTAGAGACAAATTAAATAGAAAATCGTAGTTTGCTTTAGGTTGGCCTTCAAAAATAAAAAAAAAATGAAGAGACGAGCCTCGCCAAATAATAAAAAAATGCAAATTGCGGGGCCCTCAATAATTGGCCATAATAAAATACTTAGAATTCGGAATGACCGTTTAGCGAATTTCACGGCCTTCCCCAAAAATAATAATACGCTAGCCTCTTTAGGCGCGTTCTTAATAATATTACCTCCTTAAACTCGGGTGCACATTTATGTGACCCAAATCCAAATCTCAACGGAGTCGAAATGTGTCAACAACCACGGGTGCATTGATTGCGACGTGGTTCGAGACGCGTTTTCACGACGTTGCAATTCTATTAAAAATAATAATAAAAGCGGTTTAAAGTTAATAAAGTACATAAGTTATAACATGTATTAAAATCAGATATTTAGCCATTACAACAATTTAAGCGATCGTGCTAGAACCACAGGATCCGGGGGTGCCTAACACCTTCCCTCGGGTAAACAGAATTCCTTATTTAGAATTTTTGGTTCACAGACTTCATTTGGAAAGTCGAATATTTTCCTCGAATTGGGATTCAAGATAAACCGGTGACTTGGGACACCAAAAGTCAAATCTATCCCAAGTGGCGACTCTGAGATAAATAAATAATCCCATTTCGAATAATGTCACTTAAATTAGAAAAAACTCCCTTGTGCATTATCCTTCGGGGTAGGTGCGCAAAAAGGAGGTGTGACAAATATGGAGAAAAAAAAATTAATGAGAAAACTATAGTACCTATATGAACGACGCCCCAAATATGTGATGAGTAATACAATTTACGGTTCTGGAGGAATTCTTGATTTTTAAAAGAAAGTTAAAAAAAAAGAATAAAAGGTAATTGGAGCAAGTAACAAAAGAAAGTTAAAAGAAAAAAGGTAAAACAAAGTTAGAACCAAAAGAATAAAAGTAGTAGTATTTGATAAACAAAAGTCGCCAGAAAAAACTTAAAGAGCAAAATAGAGACCTGATAATTGGAGCAAAAGAAAGTTAGTGCTTGATAAATGGAGGAAAAAGTCTAGCTAGGAGCGTGAGATTCGATCTCTCGACCATAGGCTTTTAGAGCCCTTCAACACCCATCATAACCAAAGTACCCACCAAGTCTTTTGTTATTTGGGTGCTTGCTATTTTATTATATCCCTTTTATTAAATTCTCTATATAATTATACGTGTTCGGGGTCGAGGTTAATGGGTGCCCGAACACCCAATTTTTTATATGTAGATCCGCCCCTGGATGTTATTGTTTGTTGCTTTATTTTTATCGGTCCTTAAGCCAAGGGTGCATCGAAAATAACCTCTCTGCCTTTATAGGATAGGGATAAGACTGCGTACACATGACCCTTCCCACATATGAAATTAAGCTGGGTTTGACGTTGTTGTTATTGGGTGTCGGGTATTTGCTTTGAGGCCTGACTTATTCGGATTCGTATTACGTAAACAAATTAAAGGGAAAACGTCTCATATATGAATTTTTTCTATTCCCGAAATCTTGTGTTATCCATTATTACAAACGTGTAAATTGTAATGTTATTGTAGGAATCTTTAATTTTAGTTCGTGAAAATGCCACAAAATCATCTAACCTCACAAAAATGCTTTTAGATGTATTTTCTTGAAAGTTTTTTGTCTATCAAGATAAAATCTTTTCTTGTACTGCATGTTGGAGATATAGTCAAATCTTTCTATAACAGCCTCGTTTGTTCTGGATATTTTGGTTGTTATAGCGAAATATTATTATAGATAACATATATTATTACATAATATAAAAGTTGGTTTCGAAAAAAGCTTAGCTTTTATAGTAAAGTGTTGTTATATAGGAATGCTATTATAGAGAGTTTGAATGTATTTATTTTGAAGGCCTATGGTTCGAAGAATTCTCAATAATTCATTTTTCTATGGAAAAATGAAATGATAATACATATTACCCTATATGGTACTTCTTCCCGTTAGAATAATACAGGTTCGTTAATGATGATTAAATTGGTATATTTTCATAATTAAAGACATCATATTTGAGTCTATCAAATTTTACTACCTAAGATCCATTTCCGATGTTATTAAATTTGTTTAGCTACAAGATATTATTTTTTCATACTCTATAACTATTTGTCAGCAATCAAGAATAGAAAAGACGAAACTATCAATAAAAATATTAATGCTTCCGATGCCTAAATTTCAAACAAGTGAAGTCGGGTGTATGAATTTTCACTAACCATATTTCTTCACTCAAACTCATTTTAGGTCAAAATTATACAACATAAAAATAAATATATTAGAATTTTTCTACTAATATAAAAGTTTCTAATGTGGCTAAAAGACTCTCATTAAAATTTAATTTTTTAATTGGATTTATTTTATTTGAAATTTATAACAAAAGTCAATGAAAGAATAAGATATTTGTTTTGTCCATTTATTAAATTTAGATGTAGCTAATAAACATCCGGATCCGTGGCGCAATGGTAGCGCGTCTGACTCCAGATCAGAAGGTTGCGTGTTCGATTCACGTCGGGTTCAATCCCCCGATCCAAATCGGATCCTCCATTTTTTATTCTTTTTTTTTTAACTATTCCTTCACATTTTTTTTTATTATTATTATTATTATTATTATTTATTATATATATTATATTTTTTAGCTATTGCTTTCACTGGTTCGGACGTGAATAAAGCAGGGAAAAACTGGAAAATTTTGGATTTTTTCGCCTTGTATCTAAAATTCACTATCCTATTAGCTTATGTTTTAGAGTTATAACATGTTTTATTTTGAGTGATTCGAGCAAAACTCTCATGTGAAAAAATTTGCAGAATCTTATGATTAGATTAGTTTTATTTTTCGTGTATATAAGTTTTATGCATTGACAGCTTAAAAAAAAAATTACAGTAGTAGGTCATTTAAAAGACAAATATTAATCGGCAACATTAAGAAAAATGGAAAGCAATCTTATATAATAGGTGAAAATACGTCGATACATTAATAACTTAAACTCATATTATATTCTCCTCTCTGATTTAATTCCAACTGAAGAACCATCTATATATTAATACATTAGTACTAATCATAAACAGCTTAGAGGATTAAAACTTAATTATTAACTAAAGTAGGAGAAGAAACACCAAGCAGCAAGCCAATTAAGCTGACTATATTCCTTATGGTGGTGTGGTAATACCTGCAAATTTAGAGTAAGTAGTTAACAACAAAAGAAAAAATAAACGAATTTCAGCTACAACAATTATAGTCAATCAAATTATCGAGAACTTTTCAAGAAACATGCAAAATCTTGGCGTAACTAATAAAATTGTTGTCATGTGACCAAGAGGTCACGGGTTCGAGCCGTAAAAATAGTCTCTTACAGAATTACATGGTAAAACTGCATATAATAGATCTTTGTGGTCTGGCTCTTCCCCCGACCCCGCACATAACGGAAGCTTAGTGACCAAACTTTTTTTTTTAACTATTGAAGGACTTCTTAGAATATCAAAGTAAAGCTGAGCAATATTTAATCTTTACTTGTTGTAACAGTAACATTAAATCCTTAATTCTATTCGAAGATCTCAAAATTATGCTCTAGTTCAAGGAAAAGTTCGCAAAATTCCATTTCCATAAATAAAATATATATATATATATATATATATATAACTAACATGGATGAGATTATCTATAATGATTGATAGATAAATGAGAGACTTTCTCAAGATTCTAATTTATCCAATAAAATAACAATAATAAATCTCACACTTAGGATTTAGAGAGGGTAAAGTGTACGCAGACCTTACCATATCCTATGAAGATAGAGAGACTGTTTCCGATAGACTCTCAACTCAATAAAGAAAATATATAAAATAAGCAGAAATAAAAAGTAGTAACAACGGAAGATAAGAAATAACAAGACAAATATGGAGATATGAGGCTAAGAAACAAATAAATACACAAAACAATTGCAAAATAAGATGATAAAATAGCAGAAGCAAAAGAAACAACATAATAGTAAAAGAAACCTACAGATAAGAAGATACTAAATCTAACTCATCCACTTGAGATTAACTTTATACATACAAAATATATACTGATTAAGTCGAAACATATATTTAAATCCTGAATTCATCTCTAACAGAAGAGAGACGAAACAGAAAAAAAGATTAACTTACTTCCACACTTGAATTTTCGAGGGACTCTTCGACCACAACCTTCAACAAGACGAATAGCACGACTGATATCAATAAGAGCAGCCAATTTAGGAGTAATAACACTACAAACACATTCAATATGAGTAACCCTAACACGTTCACAACACATAGGAGAAGGAAGTTTTCCATACAAAACAGGTTTACAAGAATTTATACCAATTCGTCTCTCTTCTTTACATGCTGTTTCACTCAATTTTGCACTTGCCATAATTTTCAATTCTAAATTATTCAACAAAAATAGGACCAATAATATGGCCATTAACATAACCCATGATTTTCCCATTTCACTTTCCACACTCTATATTCCCTATAACCATAAAGTTCCAACTCTCCTATCCTTTTTATAGTAGTTGGTTTGAACTTATGAGTTTAACTTTTAACAGTAAAATTATACTATCACGTCATTTAAAAGATAACTACATATAATTGTTCATAATACGTGAAAATGGTTACCTGGAAAATAAAGTAGATAACCTGCAAAAATTGGTTAAATTATATTAATAATTAATTTTTTTAAGCTATATAGGCTGACAATATAAAAAAGTGAAAATAGCACGGACTAGTCAGTTTTCGGGCTGAAATTTAAAAAATAGTCAGCGTTTGTAAAGTCATTAAAAAATAGTCACTATTTTGCTGAAACACGGAAAGTTCCAGTATAATATGCTGGATTATGAAGCTCCTGCGTATAAACTTCCAACATATTATGTTGGAACTCCAGCACACGTTGATAGTCTAGTTTGATGGAAAGACCATGATCTCACGTACCCCATATTTTAGGCAATAAATTTGCCCTTGTATATACCAACAATTTAAAGAATTTTTATACTATGACGTAATTTTATATGTTGTAACAAGTACCTAATTATATTTTCTTGAGATTATAAATTCTACTTATTACAGACAATTATCTGAAGTTATTTTTTAAATGGCCTAAGAGGGTATGGTTTAGGAAGTTTCCCTCTTGTTAGAGCTGGATGCACTTAATATCTTCCCCTTTTGTTATTTATTTGACTTTAAGAAAGCACGACTTGTTCTTCCATATATACAGGGCGGATGTAATGGGCTAGTTATGAGTTTAATTGAACTCATAATTTTTAACACGGAATAAAAATTCATGTACAAAAATTTATTAAAACTATAAAAATAGTAGATTTGAACCCATAATTTAAAAAATATAATGGGTTCAATTTTAAAAACTTTAAAATTAGAACTCATAGAGTTTAAATACTGGATCCGCATATGTGTATAAATAATCATTTTAGAGATAGGTATTACAAATTCAAAGCATTAACGTAAAAAACAGAATAGCTCTAGTGTAGTCGGTGAGTACGGATTCCGCGTGCCAAACACTTTGTGGGACACTACTTGTTTTTCCTTTTCTTTTTCCGGGAAAAAAATGAATTTTTTTTTTTGAAAATTTAAGAGTTTATTAGTCTGATCAAGAGTGGACTTCGATGTTAAAGGACTCTGATTGGTATTCCGAGTCTTTGAATATGTTCATATACGTCAAATCTCGTTATAATAGTCTTATTTGTTCCAATATTTTTGAATGTTATAGTTAGAGGCGGATGTATAGGTTAGTTTACGGGGCACGTGAACCCATGATCTCTCCGGCAAATTAGATATTTTATGTATGTTTTTTCTAGAATTATTCCAATACTATTTGTTGGCACCCATGCTCCACAAAGCCTGAATGGTGCACTTGGTTGAATATTGAGTTATTTACCCAAAGGAACAAAGATCAATTCCCACTTAGTATTTTTTTCCTTTTCTTTAGTGGTGCACCTATATTTTAAAAATCCTAGATCCGCCTCTGGTTATAGCGAAGTGTAGTTATAGAGAATATATATTACTAACTTAACATAAAAATAGGTTTCGGAAGCTTGGCTTTTATAGTGAAGTGTTGTTATACAGTCATACCTCTCTATACAGCCTCGTTTGTTCCGAATATTTTTGGATGTTATAGCGGAGTGCTGTTATAGAGAACATATATTATAACAAAACATAAAAATTGGTTCCAAAAAAGCTTGGCTTTTATAGTAAAGTGTTGTTACATAGTGATGATGTTATAGAAAGGTTTGACTGTAGTTAGATTAAGCTTGTGTGGAAAGTTTGATTGCAATCAGAGGTATTTAAGTATAATTCGAGCGCTTGATTGGAAGTATAAAAGTTTATGAACTTAAGAGAGTTTCTAAGCCCAAAGAGCAATACTTGTTCCGTTTCAAAAAGAATGAACGGGTTTTGGGTATGAAGGTCAAATTTATTCAATTTTGGTCTCCGTTCGGACAACAATTTCCTTAAAATATTTAAATAAAAAAATAAGATAATCAGAAACTACATATATTTCCTACAAATTAAATTATAAGTTTTCCTAGTGAGAAATATTTTAAAAACATATTAAAAAAGTTATGATGAATAAAAATGTTGTTTTTGACTCCACAAACAGCACTAATGTCATGCAACTTCAAGTAGATAAAGTAGCACTACTAGAAATTCGGTCAAACCTGACTGCGCCAAATCGATTTTTTCGGCAATTTATTTTTTGGCCGCTTGTGAAATTTTATTGACTGATCGAAATCGGTCAAAAATTACGATCGGCTTCTATCGCTATTATTACCGACCAACCTAATTTCGACGAATTAAAGTCGATCGAAAATCAATGAATTTTTCCTGTTTGAGTCATTTTTCTAGTAGTGATATACTTTCTCGTTGACTTGGGAAGTTTCCTTTTTTTTTTTTTTTCTATGTAAAAGAAGTAGATGTCAAGCAAGTGATGAAGACAAACAGGAATAATTGCTTCTTGTTGACTATTATTTATAGCCTACAACGTTTGATTTCAAGAACACTTTGGAGTCGTTTGGTAGGGTGTATAAGAATAATATTGCATAGGGTATATTAGTAATGTTGGTCTAGTAATGTTGAGATTAGTTATGCTAGGATTATTTTTTATCGAAACGGTTTTGTGTATTAAAGGTTTTGAAAGGGTAATTCTATCTTTATACATGCTTATCCATATATTAAAAATCATGGTCAGTGGCAGAGCCAAAATTTTCACGAAAGGATGTTAAATATAAAAATTAGATATACCGTAAAAGTTAAGGGAAGTCAACATATAGTAAATATATATGGAACAAAAAGAATTATCTACCAATAAATGTAATTTTCGGGTGAAAGAGTATTGATTGACACCCCTCCGCCACTGGCCATGGTTTACTATATATAAAAATAAAACGGAAAATACTACCAAACACGGTATTAGTAATACTAAAGCTAAAACATATATCGTTTTCCCTAATAAAATCCTACCAAACGAACCCAGTGAAACATGGGATTAATGACTTAAGTGAAGTATGGATTTCAATCTTTGACAATTGACATTATTGAATAATCAAGCCGTTATATTTGAAAAGTTTTATCAAGTAGTAATAAAGATCATTCAATCAACAATAGTAAATCCCATATTTACTAGTCATACTCAATTTATTAATCCATGTGACCTTCAGATACTACTTCTACAACAACAACAACGTCTTTATTCCGGTCAATTCGGGATCAACTATATGAATTCTCGATATTTCATATCGTTCTATTTTTAAACTCACTCTCTATGAGGATCCAAAAAATCGTCGCTTGTGTCAATTTCAGACTCGAGGTCACCCTCCGTGCCATCGACGTCTGTTGGCACGTCGGGTTTTGACACTTCTCCGGGGGTCTTAGCCTCTTGTATTATCCGCAATATTTCTTCCATGCGTTGCTGTGGTTGATCTGAAATTTCTTCAAATCTTGAATTTTCACAATCCATAAGGTCTTTTGACAGATTCTTTAGGAACCAGGAATGTTGCTTTATTTCTGGAATGGTGATCCTCTGTACATTGAAAATTGAAATGTTTTTAAAAGCTAATTTAAGCAAAGCCAAATCAATAGCACAATGTGTGTACAATCATTTGTTGTCAAAAGCAGAGACGGATTCAGGATTTGAACTTTATGAAATCGAGTTGGAATTCTAGCACAACTCATTTGATGTACTAGGTTCGAATATATTATTTGTACTTCTTTAGTGAACTTTTAACATATACCAACTCGTACATTAAGTCTGCCCTTGTCCAACTTACGACTGTCAGTGACCCTCTACCTATTGCATAGGTCCGCCTCTGCCCAATACGAATAGTTCTAGCCCCAAATAACTATGCAAAACAAAGAGAACTTACTTCTCATGTGATATGATATTCAATGAAACAACAACTACTACTACTATTACGTCTTAATCCAGTGGTGGAGACACCCTTTAGCAAGGGAAGCCATCCGACACTACGTAAAAAAAAATCATTTTGTGATATGAAGTAAAGCCTTAAAATCACGACATCCAAAACTAAACTGCTTAAACACCGAATTATGACAATAAGACGATACTGCTTGCCCAAATGTTGTGAAAGCCACTACTTATTCCAAAGCAAGTCGGGTGTTGTATGACTCTTAACCATCCATGTCGCTTCATTTAAACTCATCTTATTCCAATATTATATATGATATTCAACGAAGCGTTATTGATTACAAACAACCTAATTTATGAATCTTTCACTAAAACCTTGTACACATTTGACATATTTCAAGAAAAGAGAGTTACCTTGGAGGGGTTTGCGACAAAAATTCCAGAGATGAGGTTTCTACATTCAGCAGATATTCTTACATAATCTGGTATAGAGTACTGAGCATTCTTTATTCTCTGAAAAAGAAAAAGAAAGGATAAATCCTTAAGCTGCTAAATGACACAACAATTATATACAGTCAGACCTCTTTGATCTATAAAATAAAAGCCAAGTTTTTCTCGAACCGATTTTTTATGTTACGTTATAATATATGTCATCTATGACAACATTTCACTAAAGCATCCAAAAAATATCGAAATAAACGCGGCTGTTATAGAAAGATTTGACTGTATCAGTTAACAGAATATTAAAACATCAGTTGAGAACTCAAATCAAAAACTTCATAAACTAACCTCAATGGTTTTACGAAAATTTCTTGGATCTTCAGGATCTTCAAAAGGGTATGCTCCTACTAACATCACATATAGTGTCACCCCACATGACCACACATCTGCAATCTGTAAAATATAGAACTTTCAAATGAACAGAATGTTCCTAGTGAATTAAACAGTGGCGGATGTAGCTTATTAGCTACGGATTCAACTGAACTTGACATTTTCGACATGTAACATGTATATAAGAGCAGCCTGGTGCACTAAGCTCCCCTATATGCAGGGTCCGGAGAAGGGTCGGATCGCACGGGTCTGCCTTAACCTGCATTTTTGCAAGAGGTTGTTTCCACCGCTCGAACCCGTGACCTCCTGGTCACATGGCAGCAACTTTACCAGTTACACCAAAGCTCTCCTTCAGATACGGAACATGTATATACGTGTTGAAAACGTGAATGTAACGTGTATGAGTTGTTCTCTTCTTATATAGAACTTTCAAATGAGCATAATGTCCCCAGTGAAACAGTGGCAGATGTAGCTTATTAGTTTCGGATTCAACTAAACCCGATATTTTCAATACGAAACATGTATATGCATGTGAAAAATGTGAGTGTAACAAGAATGAGTTGTTCTCTTCTTATATGGTAAAGGCAGTCAGTCTTCGACTGTTAAGTTAAACTCAAGGTTCATTTTTTTTTTCCTGTAATAATCTAAAAAGAGTATTCGTACCTTCCCATCATATTCCTTCCGCGAGAGGACCTCAGGTGCAATATAAGCCGGTGTTCCAACAGCCGACTTGGGTTGTGAATGCAACAAACCAGACTATATGACAAAGAAAATGTATAGTTACTGCCTATTATCTTACTAAAGAAAAGATTAGCGACGAATTTCGTAACAGAAAATAAGAAACCTTGGAATAACCAAAATCGCATATTTTTACACGTGGCGTTGGACTTCCATCAAGGAGTGTATTCTCCAACTTCAAATCCCTGTGACAAATTTCCTAAAGAAAAAAAAAACTCATGAAAAAAAATAACAAACATAACAAAATTCGAAAGTACTTCAATTTATGAATTTTACCATTGAATGACAGTAACTAACTCCAGATATTAGCTGTTGGAAGAAGAAGCGAGCCTGTTTTTTTGAAAAAACAAGAATGAAGATTAGTACTATAAAAACAACACAATGGGATCCCACAAATAAAGTCTGGGGAGGGTAATATGTACGTAGACCTTACCCCTACCCTGGATGGCAGAGAGGCTGTTTAGATAGATAGTACTATTAACATTTTCATATTTTTTATACAGAAATAATATAAGGAATTTAAGATCTTTATAACCTCATCTTCACTAAATCTACCAGCACTGCATATTTTAGCAAAAAGTTCACCACCTGCTGCATATTCCATAACAATTGCTAAATGTGTTGGAGTTAACAAAACCTGCAACAAAAGCGCGCACGTTCAATAACCATACGTGAAATTAACAACGACGCAAATGGCTCCTCACAAGTGGGGTCTGGGGAGCGAAATGTGTATGCAAACCTTATCCCTACCTTAGGAAAGTAGAGAGGTTATTTCCGATAGACGCTCGACTCAGTTTAGTATTAAAAAAAATGCATTTGCATAAGTAACGGTCAAATTTGCCCAAGTACTATCTGAATTTGAGCAACTTTGTCCTCCGTTGGACTTTTGACCTAATATTACCCCACCTTATAAAAGTTTTGTTATTGCCCTTGATTCTTTTGGAGCTCGAACCTAAGTGATAATTTTAAACTATAGTCAAAAGTTGAGGGGTAAATAAAATCCTTTTTTCTCGAAGAATTTGGACACATGGAGTCCATCCATTTCACGTTTCAGCTCAAGTAATGATAATGGTCAATACAAGACGATTTGCTAATAACAAGGATATAAATTGACCAAAATTTTAAAGGATAGCAAAATTAAACAATTTGGAATAGTACAAGGGAAGATTTGGACATTTTCGTTTTAATAAAATCAAGTATTCATAGCAATAGAAGAGTAGGTATTTACCTCTTTAAATCTGACAATATTGGGATGCTTTAATGATCTATGATTTATAATTTCCCTCTGNTATAATACCTCAGATTGTAAACATGTAATAATCAAACTTAATACAACCTACATTTGGTCATTTGAAAGAGCAAATGGCACAAATTTCAATCTTAACCAGACACCAGTACAAGAGTACAGTAGAAAGATCAATCGAGTAAGAGTCCGCTTGGTTTAGCTGATTGGAAGTAGCGGATAAATATTAAGTGCTCAAAAACGTTTTTACATGCGGAAAAAAAGGAGCAGTCCGATACATAAAGCATCCGACATTCACGCAGGATCCGAAAAAGGGTCGAAGCCCTAACGGTGTAATGTAAACAGCCTAGCAAGCATTAGTACACATTTACATGTAGAAATTGATGTTATAAATATGCGCTTACGATGTTTAAATAGAAGTGTTGAAACAGATAATAACACAATAAATTCAGTACTTCCCCAAACAAGGGGAAAATCATTGAATTAGAAGCAAAATACTTAATAAGGAAAATTACCTTTTGTCCTCTTTCAATATATTTGACAGCAACAAGTTCCTTTGTTTTCTTGTCTTTGACAAGTCTAGCCACCCCAAAATGCCCAGAACCAAGTTTTTTCAATGGCTCATACCTCTCCTCCATTTTTCAACTCGACTCAAAATCAGCAAATAAAACAATTTTGATAGTTTGAAATGAAAAATCACTCACAAAAGACCTTTTTCTTTAACAAAGCAACTAGACTTCTTGACCAATTCCAGTTAAATGACTTTACTCAACTCTCTTTTATATATGATGAAAATTGTTTTGAAATATTAAAACAACCTTGAGAATACATGAACATTTGTATATATAATATTAAAGGACACTTATAATACTAATTATTAAGGGGTTGGCTTCAAACTTCAAAGTTCATTCAAATTATGAAGACATTTTCTTGAAAAGATTCTGTATTGTTTGTCTAGTTTAAGATTGTAATAAATGGTTGTCGGATAACCTTTTTAGTTTTCAGTATTGTTTAAGATTCCAAACGATTTGAAGTTTCATGTACTAACGATGTAAAAGTTATTTATATAATCAAGTTACTTGTAAAACAATTACGTAAATCTCTAAGATAAACAATATACTCTCTCCGGTTTCAATTTAGATGAGCTAGTTTGACTCGGTACGGAATTTAAGAAAAAAAGGAATAACTTTTGAAATTTGTGGTCTTAAAAGTTTAAGGGGTAAAAGCTTTATGGGGTCACGACATTTGTGTGGTTATAAAAGCTTCTCATTAAGGGTAAAATGAAGAGTTTAAAGTTGAATTATTTCCAAATTTAGAAATGTGTCATTTATTTTGAAATAGACTAAAGGAAAGTACCTCACCTACTTTGAAATGGAGAGAATAGTATTTAATAATCTGATCGATAAAAACAAAAACTACCTTGCTATCATAATTTAAGTATACAAATGGAGCATATTTTTTTTACATTAACAATATATATAATTTAAATTCTTTTATTAAGTATGGAGCCTTGTTATTTGTTAGTCACGTGGGGGTTGTTCTAGCTTTTTAAAGAATATTATCCATTCTTGGGTTTCTACTAAACTAAGTTTTTACCGACCAATTACTGGTGTTTTGCATCTTGTTTATATAATTCGTTGGTATGAGATTGTTCTTATGAAACTTTCAAAAATGTTTTTCTTTTCATTTTATTGTTTTTTGTTTGTTTAAACAGAATAGTTATCTGAATGGAGAGTTAACAAGTGTTGATGATGTGAATTGCACAATATAAAAGCTTAAAAGGCTAAAGATTAGACACATCACTTACTTATTTTAAGTCTTCTAACATACATTCTCATGACAAATTTTATTTTATGTGAAATACAAATACTCGATCATAATCTTTTTTAATTATCCAATATCTGGAAAACTTACTGATCCAACTAACGCTGATTCGCCATGGGTAGATCCACTAAAGGATAAAGAGCTTCCTAATAAGAAATTTTTCATTTCTCAAGTTCGAATTCAATACCTTTTATTAAGGATGTGGGATCCCAATCATCTCACGACACCATCGTATGGTAATAATTAGAAATAGATGTGTGAGGATTGCTATATTATTTGACAAGTGGAACATGTAGGTCCCACAATTCTCTACTTTTCTCTCCCATAGACTATATCTTCTTCTCCTCTTCCCATTATGAACATTGCCAGAAATGGCTGCAGTTCATGACTGTTTATATATATATGGACAGTTCAAGAGTAGGATTACAAGAGTAAAACCAAACAAACATCACATGGATTCACTAAAGGGACCTCCTTCAACCATGTAATGAAAAGAAATTAGCACCCATCATACATATATATATATACAATCACCTAAACAAATACAAAGATAACCAAAAATGACATATGTTAAGTATTTATACCATTATGAGATGTTCTTAACTGAAGGAGGCCATGACAATCTACTGTGGTTCATGCCATCAGTACCTTTTGCAATTTCACTACCTTCTTGTGGCTCACTTTCTTGCCTTCTCAAGCTTCCGACTGCTAAATCATCGAAGCTCGATTCGGTTCTCACTGGGGGAGGAGTCACACAATCAGAATCTCCAACATTTGTTTGAGAAGGATCCTTGCTCGGTACTTTAGCCAAGGAAGAAGAATGACCAACTCTCAAAGCTTGTAGCGCTGCGAATGACTCCCTCATTGCGGACATGGCTTCAAAGAATATGGTGCAAGAAGCCAAAGCAACAGGAATCGGACGAAGCATTTCCTACATTAATTGTTAAACATCAAACTCCAAAATAAATGCAAGACTTGGTATCATGTCTAGAACGTTGGAACTTCCTTTTCCTATCCAGATATGATAATTCATGAAGTTCTTTGTGGCTATTTGACAGTCGTAGGACCTGCTAACTGCAACACACTTCATTTTCGTCATTCCTTCTTATTGTGTTTCTCAATTTCTTTCCATCAATGCATATATAGAACTACAGTGACATGCCATTCCACATAAAGAAAATAACAGTTTCTTGCATCAAACAACTAGGGAATTAAAAATGAGTATCATTGATCGAACACTTACCAACTGTCACCAGGACAGATATATGCTAACATATGCTATCATGCTAGTATTATTTTTAGTACAAAATTACAAATAAAACTGCAGTAGTCAAACCACCAAAACAAATGTTTTATTTTAATAATATATATGACGATAAGGTTAATCATCAGGATTGGAAACAAGAAGTGCATACCCCCCACACTGTTGGTGGTTCTTTAAATTTCTGACTCCATTGAAAATCTTCTACAGAGGCCGTTAAAGCACCATAATCACTAGCAGCCCTCATCAGCAATTCTGAAAATTGTTTCTGCACAATTCAATAACGTTAGGCATTTATATCTATTGGCTCATCACATGGCTGAACGGTACAAAGAACATTTGAAAAAGCTAAAGACCGACATAGAAGCATCTGAGTTTCTTGCGATGACAAGTAACTAACCTGATATTCAGCTTCCACAGGAATGCAATCCAACGAATATGGTTGTTGAAGGCGAGCTATTATGCGGTCCTAAAAAACCCACACAAGATATTTATGCAAACACAGCAGCAAAATGAAGCAATTAGGGAAAGAAATGACAATGACAATGACAAAATTATTAGATAAGAGAATACTATTCATTCTGCTATTGGACGAAATTTGCTTCAGTACACATCAAATAAAGTTGTCAATACTCTTTGCTAGAAGCAACTGCAAGCTAATGCAAGTAACTTAACCAATTGACACAAGTAGGATTGATGCCTCCCACTATTGGAGGGAATTTGGTTTAGTTTCAAAAAGGTGGACGGAGGAGATCATAATGAAATATTTGAATATCACCAAATGTAAAACAAAGAAGAAAATAGAAGTTAAATTTCAGAAGGTCAATTACCTTATTCTGAATAACGTCCTTCAAAATAGTAGTAATCCTTTGCAATGTTTCGATTTTCTTTTCCATTTCACTGACATGTGTCAAATGAGCAACATTTTTGTCCTCCTAAAGTTGCACCACAGTACTGTGTTAGTTCATCATATCATCTAAAAGAGTAAAGTTGTCAGGTTACCAAAGTGATGAAAATCAAATATCGTAATTTTTAGTCCTTTTAACTCAATTTATAATGTCCTATCACTCAGGAGTCCACAAGGAAGCGAAAAGAAGTGAAAAACAAACAGAAAGTACAGTTTGAGTTAAACTTATAGGTAAGGAAGCTGCAAAACCTCTCTGCGCCCAGTCCTTAGATTCAAACTCAAGATGCTTTCTAGTGAATGTAGTAGTATTATATTTTTTTTGCAAGATGTCATCACCCGGAAGACTAAGTTATTGTGCATTTAAGGTAGACATAGACATGTTATATTAGAGGTCCAAGCTCGTCAGAGAACTCATTGCATTACTGATCACCTATCTTGACCAATTTACCAAACTATTAAATTGAGCTGCCAACCCAATATGAGCTAGTCCCTAACTATAGCACCAAAGCTCTTTATGCATTTGAATACTCGGATGACCAAATAGTAAATAGAGAACCACATCTAACAGGTATTAATTAATACCAAAACAAATAATTGTATAAGGCTCTGTGAACTTTTGTTAACATTGTTCAAAGGAAAGAATGTTCTTTTATTTTTTTTATTGGTTAAGTTCTTTCGACTGAACAATTTCAAACTCAGATTGGCCGGACAAATCATGCGCTGACCTGAATTACAGAAAACTAATTTAGGGAAGTTTTCGGATTATTTTGAACGATTTGGTACCCATCTCCTGCTGAAATGGATAGGACATCTATATACTAGGGTCAAGTGAAAAATTAAGTGATATAAAATCATACTGTCAGGAAGCGTATTCACTAGATTCAAAGCACCATTTCGTGTTGGATATTTTGAGGAACATGTAAAACCTTACAAAAATAGATGAATTTCAGTAGAATCTCAACAAATGTCACCTTTCGACCCTGAAGTTCCACTTGTAAATCTGCAATTTTCCTTTGAACAGCAGTGAGTTCCTTCAAGACCCTTATCAAGTCATCACCTTTTTCACCGCTAGTGGTGGATAAATTTTGGATCTCCTCCTAAACAAGGGGAACATTGTTTAGTTCCGCTAAATATAAGTACAAATAAAGCTCAAATAACCATCCTAAGAAAGCAAACACTACTACTACTATTACTACTTCTACAACAACAGCAACTACGACTCTTTCTTAAAGACTTAGGGTCGGTTATATGAATCCTTACGGACAAATGTTACTCCATAGAAACTCATTTCATGCCAATATTATGCACATACAAATAAAACGTAGTTGAAGTTCTCGATATTTTCTGAAAGTACAAATCTCTAAAAGGCTAAACCACTCCTAGACAACATAGGACTTACATTAAAAGTGCTAATTTGTCTAGAAAGGAAATAAAAGAGTTAAAAGAAAGAAAAGAAACCTGCAATGGGGAAGGGCTCAACCAATCATGAAAGCATAGATAAACTGCAATATTAAAAATCTCCTAAATTAAATTCAAGTATAAAACAAATTCAGAGTTGCAGCGTGGAATATTCAATCTTCATTTTTAAGGTGGTGTCGGGGCTATCTTGTCGGCACTGCGACTATTCTAATGGGTACCTGCTACCTTCCACCAGTTTATAGTACCGAATAACTCTGCCACCAAGGCTAAGGCAAATGGGAAAGAAATCATATGGTATTTTTTTTTGCCTCATCTTAAAGTGGGAATAGTCACTTTTTAGCAAGAAACATCTAGAATCTTGAGATAACCATGTAAACTCCCCCCAACCCACCCNTGCACTAAGCTCCTGCTATGTGCGGGTTCCAAGGAAGAGCCGGACCACAAAGGTCTATTGTACGCAGTCTTACTCGTATTTCTGCAAAAGCCAGTTTCCACATTTTAAAGTCGCATCTCAATTTTAGTCAAAATTCTCTAATCATTTTCTTTTTCCTTCAGCAAAACCTAATTAAATAAATGTAACTTCCGAAACGGTTAAATTTCACGTGCATCGCAATCAGATCAATTGCAACCAAATAGGACCCAAATGCTTAGTAAAATGGGAATTCATCAACAGGTTTTCAATTATAACTATTGACAACAATAAAGTTACGAACTTGTAAAGGCATATGTTTAAAAGAAAATTATAAGTAGGATATGAAAAAATGGACCTGAGAAGAAGGAGGAGGAACAGAGAAGCCAAGTTCAGCAGCAATAGAGAGCGCATCTGACATCCCACCAATTCGTCTCATTGGTTTTCTTCCAACCCATGTTGAGTTTGTGTCGCTTCCCATCATCTCTCTCTCTCTCTTCTTTCTCTCTCTATAACGACTACAAATTTTGAACTTCAGTTCCTTCTTGTTTGGATTTTGGCCACTAAACTAACAAAATGACCCGGCCGGGTTTCATTAGCAAGTGTCAAAATAGCATAGGCTATAGGGCTAATTATCGGGTGGATTGGCGGTTATTTACTCTTAACGGTTATCCGCTTTTAAATGTATTTATCCGCTAGCCACCCAATAAGATATCGAGCGGATTGATATCGGTTTACCTCTTATCGGGTGGTTATCGGGCAATTTATCGACCTAATTCAACTTATATTGTACGCTACAGAAAAATGACAGTAGAATGGGAGATAGTAGCAAGATAACCTTTTTGGGGCATTTGCACCAATTTAAGGGCATAAATTCGAAGGTAGATGGAATCATTGGCAAGATTTAAGACTTCATGTTAGCTAGACAGTACAATTTATCCATACAGATCATATGGTTCTTCTCTGTTTGTTTTGGAAGCTTATTGTTTCCCCACAATCACGAGCATATATTAAAACAATATAATTTAATGTTAAAGTAGAGACCACAAGTTCAGATAAAATTTCCTATTTATGAATTCATAATTCCAAATTAATAAGCAATTGAAGAATATAATATTAGGTAGTGCACAAAAAAACATATCGGAATGTAAAAAAAACATCTTCATGCAGTTCATATTTTTCACATTTTCGCTGAACTTTGTCTAAACTGCTTGGAACAGATTTACAGAAGGGTCAAGGGTTTTTATTTTTTTATATTTAATACATATAAATAAAATAATATATATATTCTTAACGGGTTAACGGATTATTCGTTAAGAATATTAAATAATCGCCCCCAAACCGATAAGCCGTTAATAAAAAAATTTCAATCTGTTCCCCATCCGTTAAGCCGTTAACCCGTTACCAGTAAGCCATTAAGCTTCGGTTCGGTTCGGTTTTCGGTTTCGGATCGGTTTTGAACACCCTAATAGGCTAGCCAACTTTCGGGCTGTAATTGAAAAATAGCCAACATTATAAATTTGTTGAAAAATAGCTATTATTTTATGTAGAGGTAAAATCTGGAAAATACCCTAGCTGAAACACAAAAAAGTTCCAGTACAATATGTTGGATTATGGAGCTCCTGTGTATAAATTTCCAACATATTATGTTGGACTCGAGCATATTATGGTGGAATCTTATATGTAAAAAATTTAAGCTCTAGGGGATTATGATAGAAGTTTTTCCGGATTTTTAAGGATCTTTTTGTTCAGATTTTATTTTTACAAGAAAAAGTGACAACATTTCGATTATTTTTGAAGTTGTGGCTAATTTTCAAAATTAGCCGTTCTTAATCATGCTACTTCTGATTTTTTTTTCACTTAACAAGTAGGGGTTTGGATGTTGGACCCGGAGTTAGCCCGTTAAGTATTTGAACAGGACTGACCCAGACGATGATCCACAGTTCCAAACTTTAACGGGCCAATTTGGGCCCAAGTCAGCCCATTAACGGGGCCTGCTTTCACCTATATTTGTGCTGTTCACCATTTGCACTATCCCTTTAATCTTTGAATATAATTTAGACCTTTTCTTCTTTCACTTATATATATATATATATAGTAGAGGATACAAGCTCTAATTATGTACTCATGTCGATATCGATGGCAAGTTGAGGCCAGTGGCGGATCTAGGATTTTAAAGTAATGGGTGCTCCACCATGTTGGTGGATGTACGTATGTGTAGCATATAGTTATTGAGTTCAATTAAACCCGCCCTTTTTGACACATAATGTGAGCGTGCATGTGCGTGCTATGTTGCATGAAAGATATCACCAAAATATACAACTATGTGAACCAAGTATAAATGTGCAACTATTTGTACCAGATGGTAACAATAAATAACATATAAAGTATGATAAATATTATCTTTATTTAAAATACCATTTATTCACAATTATTCTCGTTGTTTAATTTTCTAATAACATCATTTCTTCCCGAGAGTTATTTCCAAAATATTAGTCTAACATTAGCCTTGGATTGAACATAATAAATTAATAAACAAAAATTTTATAGAAAATTATGTCAAATTATATTCAGTTCAAACATTGGCGGTAAGATTTGTTGCCCATACAACCAAAGCACCCGTTTAGAATTTGGGTTCATCGGTGCTAAGTCTGTTATTTAACTTATTTTCATCAATTATCAGTAATAATATGTACGTTTAGTGTTGGAAGTAATGGTTGCTGCAACATCCATAGAGCCCTAAGTGGATCCTGTCATTGGCTGAGGCGGATTCATGATTTGAAGTTTATGAGTTCCTATGCAAACCTCAACTTAATATAAATTAATAATTTGATTTAGGCAGAATGGTTTTCTGGCCACTTAATTAAACTCGTAGGATGTTTAAAAGCCGATACATGAATTTTCGGCTCTCCCATTTGAACACTCGAACTCATTTTTTCGATAACTAATAAACACATTTGACCATTGATCATGCCCATGTGGCATTAGTTGGTCATAATCAGCAGGTCGTGTGAGAAACAAGACGCACAAGAGCGTGAAAGCCCCCTTCCCAACGTGTAACGGTACAAAATGAGTTGTATTTAAGTGTCTTCTTATTCATTCCTTCTAAAATACTCCATTCCTCCATTTTTTTAAAAATCTGAAGCTTCATTCCTCCCATTTGTAAAATCTGAAGCTCCATTTCTATTTTTTTCCGGACCGTGAAAATGATGGAATCGAAAAGAGACAAACAAACCTTTAGATCATATAACGTCACTGAAATCGAAAGCAAGGACCAAACGAAGCTCGATCAAAACGAGACTCACATATAATAAACGAAAACAAAAAAGTATGTAAGTGATTATGATCGATTTTGGAATGGGGTGAGTAATTGTTAGCCCATTGGTAACCTAGGTATATCAGGGGAGGGTTTGGTTAGAGAGAGGTTAAAATGAGGGGATGGGGTCGGTCTATGGAATAAAAGAGTGGATCCCGATCTATTGGATTAAGGTTTTTGCGGCCTTGACGTATAAGACATTCATTGGTCATTTGCTGACTGGATGGACACGTATGTGCAATACACACGCGCATGGTTAATGGTCAAATGTGTTCATTAGTTATCGAAAAACTGAGTTCGAGTGTTCAAATGAAAAAGTTGAAAGTTCATATATCGACTTTTAAAATCCCTACAAGTTTAAGTGGCTAGGAAGCTATTATGTCTTTTGCCATTGAACACTCTTCCATTTCAAAGACTAATAGTAGATTTTGTTAAGAGTTTTTGCATCTTCCATTTGCCAACTTATTTGAACATATTCTTTTCTTGACCATATGCTTTTGAAATCAGAAGAATATAAATATACCTGGTCTATCAAAAAAGGCCATCTCTAACCGTTTTGTTTTGACCAAAAAAGGTCATTGGGAGTCTGTGAGAAAACGTGTCTGTCTTTCCTTTTTCTTTTCTCGGATTTGGACGTCAAAGGAATATCCTTTTCTTGGGTTTGGACCTCATTTTTTTGATTTTTGGGTGTCCGAAATTCGTATTAGGTTCCCGATTACTCTGGATTTGCATCGCATAAGATTCACTAAAAAAAGAAGTGCTTCATGTAAGAACTTTTTTCATACCCAAAACTCGAAACGAAAACCTCTAATTAAGAATGGAGAAATACTATCGGATCTAAATTTAATTACAAAGCACAGACTTTTTCACCACAAATGATCTTTCACATAATAAAATCAATTTTATACCGCTAGTATAATTTAACCTATTATTAGTTGCATTTTCTACTAGGTTAATATTTAATATTAAAATTGTTTTATCTCTAATACTTGATACGTAACCTGATTTTATGGGAAGACAAAATTTACACCATCTATGAGTATAATTTAAACTCTTTATAACTAGGGTTGGAATTTGGAAATGAATTAATTCAACCGCATGCAGTCAATGGGACTATATATAGAAGAGTCAAAATGCATGTTCTAAAAATATATTCACACGTGAACCACATTAAACCTACTTTTCACTACCAAAAAATTACTTATCTCCATTCTCCAACTGCAATGGAAAAGGACATGTGATTCTTCTTTTCCTATGAAATATGTAACTGCCTAAAATAGAATGAGACTCCAGAATCATCTTTCTATTCAACGACGATATCACAAGGGATTATCAAATTTAGAAGTGACAAAGTATAGAGTGAAAAAAGAATGGAATTCCCTAAATGACAATTATTGGCTAGGCAATGAATAAATGCATTATGCATAACTGAAAATATAAGTAAGTTTTACACTATTAATATAGAGGGGCAGCCCGATACAAAGTATCCGGCATTCACGCTGGGTCCGGGAAAGGTCGCATCCCAAGAGATGTGATATAGACAGTCTACCCTAATGCAAGCATTAGTGGCTGTTTCAACGGCTTGAACCAGTGACCTACATGTCACACGGAGAAAACTTTACCGTTGCTCTAAAGAGTGGGGGGGGNACACAAACATTTAACGTGGTTCGATCAACTAACTTACGTCCACAACGGAGATGAGCAATCCATTATAATAAAAGGAGAGTACAAAATATCGAGAGAACAACCTCACAAAGAGGCAAACACAAGTGACACACTAACAGTTGTCCCGTAAAGTTCTCCCCCTAAACACGACTCTCACACCCTATATGGTTACATTGTGGATGCTATTGAATAAGAAGGAAGGATCCTTAATTTATAGAAGTTCAAACCTCTTCCTACCAGAAAAAAGACTAGCCAAATATGGAAGATTTATAATTTCTTTCTACAAGAAGGAAAACCCTATCAAGGTAAATATGTTGCCCTTTCCTTCAACAAATAGGAAAACCAAATATGGTAAGAAAATTATGGCAACACTTAACAATTCTCCCCCTTTGCCTGAATTTTCTGATAAAATAAACTTGATCCACCTTCTTCACATAGCCTTCAACAGGTCGCATCTCCAATCTCCACCACAAAGTTTGTCTCAACGTGCGTAGCACACCGGTCAAATTTCTCAGACAAAAATCATGATTATCGTCAAATATGTTGCGGCTAGAACTGAACCCGCCAAGATGAACCTGTCGTGTACCTCGCTTTGATA